ATTAATTTTCGACTCCTTTAAAAATGCTTACGCAAGTTGAAACGCTGATATCTCAGTCAATATTTCGTCAGATCTCATGTATGACCTATCAACACTTAAGTTAGCCTTTTACGAATACAGCTACATTCATTTGAGCGACGTAGCTCTTATAGTTTTTTCGCTATGGTAAAGCAAATGTCTGAACATTTTTTTGCGCCACCCGGTATATGTCCGACCAAATTTAGTGGTTTTTGTCCGACCAAATTCAAGTTATATCCGACCAAAATTAAAAGTGATCGGACAAATGTCCTGTCAAGTCAAATATTTATTTGCAGCCCTGTTACTGTATTAAAGTAGAGTAGTTGGTGGAATTATTTGATCAATACAGCTTTATGGCATTACAGAGAATGTAGTAAATTAAAAATATGATAACATTTCGGATAATCAGGCTTACATACTTGTATGTTGATCTCAGTTGCAATGCCAAACTCATAGAATATATAAGTGAGTATTGTGAGTCTAAAGAATTTTGATTGACAGTATTTGTGTTTTACTGACGTGAAACTGTGCCGGTTATTATTGCAAAATAGGGCGAGTTTAGGCGAGTTAAGCAAAATTCTGTCAACCTCTCATTGCGAGATAAGGCGAGATTGGGCGAGATTGGGCGAGTTAAGCAAAATTTGATCTTTTTCTCTTGCGAGATAGGGCGAGATAAGGCGAGTTAGGGCGAGTTAAGGCGAGTTAAGGTCCCAGAGTAGGCCTCCCGATCCTAACATCGGACTAACGAAACATTTCTGAAAAGAGTTGGTCGACGCTTTACAGTCAACCGAAAGTCGTTGGTTCTGTCCGGGTTGGTTCTGTCCGGGTTGGTTCTGTCCGGGTACATGAGCTTCGTCTAAACTAATGTAACAACAGGTCTCAAAGTTATCGAAAATTTTTGTCGGCTTGAAAAGAAGAATTTTGCTGGCCTGAAAAGAAGCCTGCAGGTCAGCATGACAGGTCGGCAACTTTATGTTTTTATTATAACGTTCATGCATGTAGTAATATTCCAACAATTCTTAAAAGTGATTGACACCTGGATGAAAATGTTCCTGACACTTCGTCACCTGCTTCAGTTCCACATTTTAGTAGCATTGGATTGCTGAGTATTGTAATGAATTTATGATTGAGAAATTACGAAAGAATTATATATAGCTTTTGTCTTGAAACGCCTGAGTCGTTTGCTCTATAAATTTATATCACGAAAATGTATAGCATTCGAGGTCAGCAATTTTTTGCTGACCTGACATGACGACATAAACCTCGTTCCGAGGATTTTCCCTGGGATCAGGTTGGCAGTCGCCGATTGCCGACTTGAATTCCGAGGCCTATTTAATACATGGGAGTCTATACATTCATACATGCACTGATGCAATTCTGATGTTGACAATTACTTTTCTCTCAAAGTGCTTTCATGTAGACCCCTTTTCACTACATGTACTTTAAGGGTGATTATAGCAATATTGAAATTTGTGCAGATTATAATATTACCAGCTTGAACAGAAACATAATAGTCATGTATGTTAGTTATTATGCAACTTTGTATATTTGTCCTCGTTACGGTGATTTTTTGATATGTTAATATATGATGATGTCAAGGGGCTAGTAAAACACTTCTATATTCTATAATCTGCATGCATGCAGGATAAACTGATGAATTCATACAGTTTGTATTGTACTTCAAACCACGGTTAATAGAACTAGATGGTTAGGCTAGCTGGACCACGTGACAAATATGTTATTGTTCATTTTTATTTTTGGTCACGTGACGAGGAAAGGGGGTGCTTTGTGATGAGTGATTGGGAAAACATATGAGTGAGAACATAATATGCCAACAAAAGATCATATTTCAAAGCGCTAGAGGGCTTCTGAGATCAAAATGGAAATTGAAACAGAAAGCGAACAAACATACGAACCTATTTTGAACGTTGGAGATGAAAATATCGAAGAAAGCGAGCGTCGTGAACAGTTTATGATCGAGGGGACGAAGGCTTTGTTTATACACCGCGTTTGGATAATTGTATTTTTGCCGTTGTTTTAGTGTGTCAGGATACGTTTGAAGTAATATTGAACAGTATGGTTGGCTCTAATTGTGTTTTGTATGGCTGTCCGACCAGCAGAACACGTGAATTTGCAATTTTTAAAATCCCTGTTGTTGGCGCAGCCGATGTAGTCTGCGTAGGAGACTACAGCCGATGGTGAACAAGAAGAGAAATGCTCGCGAAGAATGGCTTCGAATTGTTTTAAAGGACTAGAGAAAAGACGGTAGATCTTCAGAAACAAATAAGATTTTCCTTTGTGAGCGACTGAGCGTCATTTGAAG